GAGTCGGTTGCAGTCAAATACCACAATTCCTCACGACCCCCTTCAGTTTGCATATTAAACCAAACAGGTATACATTGGACCCGGTATCTATTCTAGTGCATTTTATCAACAAGTCATTGAACCATTCGGTCAAGTCTGTCCGTTGTGTTTTTCTTGACTATTCGTCTACGTTTGATTCTGTTTCCCGATCATCCCTTCTTTTCAAACTTGAATCTTTTGGCATTCCAAAACAACTGCTCTCATGGCTTGCCGACTATTTCCCAGAAAGAGTCCAGTGCACCAAATTAGAAAGGAGAACATCAAAACCACTTGCTAATAATTCTGGTGTTCTTCAAGGTGCTGTTCTATCTCCATATCTTTTTTCTGCCTTTATTAGTAATCTTTCGGTCCCACCCTCTGCGAACATCCAAAAGTAAGCTGATGACGTAATTTTGTGTCGGACAGTTTCATCTCCTTCGGAATTTCATTCTTTTCTTAAAAAGCTATCCCACATCCAACAGTTTTCTGACCAATCTGGTCTCAGTCTTAACATATCTAAGTGCGTAGAGTGTATTTTCAGTCTTCCCCCCTCCTCATTAACAACGAACTCTGCTACTCTGAACGGTAAACCTGTATCCAGAATGACCTCAGTCAAGTACCTGAGCGTCACCATCGACAGCAGTCTTCACTGGTTTACACATTTGCAACTGTATGGGAAAACTCAGATGTCTATCTTTTCAGTTACGCAAACTCTGACAATTCCGAACCCCACAGTCAATCTTATCATCTTTCGTTCATCAATGCGTTTTACCCATTCTACACTATTGCTCCCCTGTAGTGTTTCCCGGTCTTTTAAAACAATACTTCAAAACAATTCGCCGTGGTTTGGTGGTAATCAGTCGTGCATCATTAATCCCAATCGACTTATTAATCACGAAACTCATTGATGGTCACATCAACTCTTGTTTTAAATTTGCTCAAAAGATTCTAGATGATCCTCTTCATCCACTACACCCTGATCTTTCGTTTTGTCGTTCCCAGCCGTCCACATGCTCCTCATTTCGACAGCTACCCTCTCGGATTAACATTTATAAAAATTCGCGTGTAACCTACTTGACCCGACTACTTACCAAAAAGGAACAGGTTTCAAATGAACTACGCCAAAAGTTTTGTACATGAAACATATATCGCCGACTTTCTTTATCTTTCGTTTTTAATATTACTATTTCACTCTGCGTGAAGAACAGTGTACAATTTTAATTGAAATGCAAGCATATATGCTTGCACAAGTTATACAAAAACGAAGAGAAAATCGAAAATTCCAGTGGACTAAGATACAGAGGAATTGAGAAGATGCACGAAAGCCACTGTTTACGACACCCAGCCATATCATTCAGTGTCTCTAACCTTCGGGTGCGACCATCCCGAACTCCCCATCCAGGGAGCCTAACGGGACCTATGTAACCCAGACTCCTGGTTAGGGTTTTCATACCCTCATGCCAGGTCTTAGCTTGACCACCCTTGGCTTTATTCCACCCCCTATCTGCCTCGGCAAACATCGCTCGCAATGGGAATCTATCTGGTGACATGCGTAACACATGCCCCAACCAACGTAATCTATGCAGGTCGAACATTTGCTCCAGTGGACGACCGCGGTTGCCTAAAATTCTGCGCCTAACCTCAGCATTGCTCGTCCGGCTGTCCCACCAGATTCGCGCAATGCTGCGTAGATAGCGCCGTTCAAACACCGACAGTCTATCTTTGTCCTGTTTTCTTAATGGCCAAGTTTCTGCTCCATAAAGCTGCCGTATACACTTGACCGCTTACAGACAGCTGGATGTCGCAACGGCGACGCAGATGTCTCGAGTTGACAAATGCCAATCGAGCCTTCTGTATGCCAGCTGACACTTCATCCGTGATGCGTTCACCGAGTGAGATATAGCTGCGCAGATAGCAAAACTTATCCACCTGCTCTATTATTTCCCCAGTTCGAGTGAGGTTGGGTGCTGGATCAACCCAGTCTTGTAGCAACATTTTACACTTTGAAGGTGCAAAACGCATACCGAACATGGCTACACTAGCATTCAAACATTCCAGAGAACCTTGCAATTTATCTGGATCTTCACTTAGTAGCACAATGTCGTCTGCATACCCCAGTTCGTCTGGTAGACTGTAGGTAGCGTCCATGACTGGATTCGTATCAAAACGTGGCTATTGACTCTTGCACAACGGGATCACACAGATGCAATAGCTGAGACGATAAACGCAAAAAAGGGCAAAACATTTATGCAACTTACGTAATTTGGAGTGCGAGGTCCGAGGAGTACCACAGAAACTGCATGTAAAAAGCCACGACTGTGTCCTGCGAAGTCGGTTTTCATCAGTTGAATAACAGTTAACATATGACGCAGCAGTACAGTGAGCCTTAACTTTTTTCCCTCCATGATGATGTCAAATAAAAGACGATCGGCAATTTTATTCCACCAAGTATGCGATTTGGAACTATCTAGAAGCCGAAATAACATGAACATGGTCTTATACACTGCATCGAGAACTAGTTCACTCGACCCAGGGCCACATCCGAGGCGATGTTCAAATAGTTGATTAATCACAGCTTCCGCTCGATTTGATGAACGCCAGTCAGCAATACGAGCCTTTTTTGCAAGTCCACTCAGTAACTTCAATCCGGCCAACTGTATTGCTGGCCTGTGATCACCGCATAAACGAAGTCCAAATGGTTGTAATACACCTATAAACTCGTCCCCAGCCATCTCTGGATAGTCCAGTTGTTCAGATAGCCAAATTAGTGCGTCTCTGAATAGTGGACGGTAGTTAAGCGCCTCCTCGTGATTCTGAGCCGGAGAACGGGCAATCTGTGCTACGCACAAGCGCAGAAATTGCAAAGCAAGTGTTTCTGTGTGGGGTTGTGAAGACGGCTGAGGTTTACACAGAAGCAAATCTCTTATGGTACAGTGACATTGTCGTTTGAGTACTACCTGGAGGAGTGATTCACACTCACGTTCCAACTGATTCGATCTATGAAGTTTTCCAGAAGTCTCTCGGTTTCCTATTATTCCACCGATTACCATCAGCACTTGAACTGGAGGGGCCAAGAGCGGTTTGTTTTCATGTTGCAACAGTTGACGAAGGTTGGAACATGTTTCAGTACAAAGAGTGCATTTAGCGTGCCAAAACTTCACACTGAGCGACTCTTCATCTTCCTTCAGTTCTAATTCTTCCAGAAAAGATTGAGCAGTATTGAGCAGGTTTTCCCAGACCATTATGGAAAGTGAATAGTTAGGTCATCGCGAAGATGGTGACTACGATAAAGAACACAAAAACACATGAGATACGATGAACGATAATCACATGTATATGGTGTCAAGTTCATCATTAGTGAAAAAATACGGTGACGAACAAAAATCATGATAAAACTATTTACATGGGAAAATCGTCATCATTATCATCACGACGAGACTGCACCTTGACGTAGTCTGATGGCTTGTACACCTCTGTGACTCAAAGAGCTACACAGAATGGCTTTTGTCGAGCCAAAGATCTAATCATGCCTGGAAGGTCAAGTCAAGTATCCTGGTCCTCTAGGTTAGGGGTTCGACTTGAGTTGGTGTCTAACTCGGTAAAACGTGCTGGAGGAGTAAATGAACCAAGTTAATGGGCCTTCAATCAGCCCTAACAGCTGCCTTGCGGTTAGGTTCTTGTCAGAGCTAAAGGCTTTGGCTGAGAACCCTAATTATTCTCCTGTTTAGTGTCTGGACACCCTAGCAGTACCCGTCTATAAAGCTCCAATGAACACACAAACTAAAAATGATTTAGTATTGCATCGGTCTCGGGGGAGCAGAGCTGTATGCTACCGAGCACGTCTCCAGGTTGCGGATAGGAGAACGGCCGCCATATCGCGGCTAACCGTGAATAAGGTGGGCTTCGGTTTGCTGAATAAGCGGCAGCGCTTGAGGATGTGTACCCCTGACAAGGGTTCTTCGCACAAAACACCACAAATATCGCCGTGACGTGGCGAGTGAGGCCGCCACTAAATAAGGCCATTGCTCCTTATCGAGATGCACTGCTCGACAAGGTTTTCCAGAAGAGGCAAATGAACCGAGGAGTGGCCACCGGCTCATCTGAAACACTACTGCTGCCTTGCAGTCCGAGCTTGGTTGCCCAAAGACTAGAGTGCATCCTCGAGCAAGAACAACTCTGGACGAGGCGACCGTTTGGTATTATCGTAGAGCCAAGATAATTGAAAACTTCAGCTGATTCGACAAGCTTCCCGTTAATCGAGAGGGGTTGTGTCGTGGTAGAAGTTTCCGTCGAAAATGTCTTCGTTTTTGACGTGTTGATCTCCAGCCCAATGAACTGGGCAAACAGATTTATACTACTGACAATAGGCTGAAGGTTGTCCATGCTGTCTCCAAGTACGACGACATCATCCGCAAATTCGAGGTCCGCAATGCATGTATCTGGGCCAAGCTGCACTTCAGGGTAGTCGAGGAGTGCTTGTCGCATTATTCAATCTACGGTGTAATTGAATAACACCGGCGATAGGGGACAACCTTGCCTAACTCTGGAGCTTAGGGTGAACTCAGCCGATTCTTCTCCATAATTACGGATGCGTGCCCGGGTTCCTGAGTAGAATGACTTTAAAAGCCTGATGAACTTCTCAGGCATCCAGTCGGACCGCAATATGCATCACAAGGATTTTCTATCGACAGTCAAAAGCCGCGCGGAAGTCAATGAAACATGCAGTGGTAGGCTGTTGGAACTTGTAGCTGTGTTCCAGA